CGGCGGGGGGGGCGGGCAGGAGAAGGGCCCCGACAGCTGTGAGCTGCACCCAGAAGGCTGGTTTCAAGGCAAGTCAAAGTGGCCGTGCGCGGAGACCCACGGGGGCCATGGGACGGCGGGCCGAAGCCTACGGCAGAGCAGGCTGCACTCGGCTTCGGCGCAGAGTCAGGGCTCGGGGGACGAACCACGTGGGCAGTAATCCCGCAACTGGACCCCTCACTGGTGGTCAAATCTGCGCAGCCGCTGCCTTCTCATTTCTTCTTCTGCTGAGAGATGGAACCCGTAGGGCGGGGGGCTCGGCTGGCTGGTTCCTGTCGGGAGAAAGCACAGGGGAAAAACGTCAAGCGCTGCTCATCCATCGTTCTGGCATTTACAGGGCACTGTTTCCGAGGATTTCAAGGGGGAAGAAAGACTGATGGCTTGGGTGTCTTTATTTTAGCACGAAGCAGAAACATAACAAACATTTTTCAACCTCTGCTGTCAATACTCAATTTCAACATCAAGTAAATATTTTTGGTGTGGTCCAGTCTACGAATCTAATCCACTCATTTCGAAGATTCTTGACAAAACTCCCCACTTTTTTTTTTTTTCCATCATGCTTTGTAATTGACATCATCTAATGTCTACAAGGTCCCCAGGGCTTATTTATTTATGCCCAGAAGTAACTCCTTGCTGTTTCTAACTTCCCCACCAAGTATACAGTTTGGTGTCTCTTCCTCAGCCCCAGGTCCTCCCTTTTCCTCCCTCTGCCCCGCGGCCTCCTGCAGCCTCCCACGCCCAGCCCAGCCAGACAGAATCACGTGTGCTTGAAGCACACACGCACCACAGAATACCAGGGGCCACAGAGCGGCGGCCCTGTTACTGTGATGACCAATATCTGGGCAGGCAGACAAAAATGCAGGCGTAACATCTGAAAATCACATGAAGGACCATGGACACCATTCCTGGAAAGGGTTTTCTGCTCATTCTCCAAGAGCAGTGCCTTTTCAAAGACATTCCCAGGTCATAGGTTTTGATAGGATGATTGTTAAGAAACACTATAGTGAAAAAAATGTTAGAGAAAGCCCAGGAAACTAAGTCAGCCTTCTCCCAAAGGAAGACAAACACCGTAGGACATCACCTACACGTGGAACTGGAAAAACCGAGCATGGGAAAGCAGGGAGTGGAATGGCAGCTCCCCGGGGCTGTGGGAGGAGGTGTTGGGGAGCTTCTGTTTAAGGGCACAAACTTGTAACTCGTAGATAAGATCTGGAGATCTAATGCACAACACTGTGATTACAGTCAAGAATACGGTATTACAAACTTCGAGGTTGCTAGGAGACTAGATCAACTGTTTTCAACACAAAAAAGGAGCTGGTAAGTATGTGACATGTACAAGTCCTGGTTGACACCCCTGTAGTAATCATACCGCAATGTACAAATGTATTAAACCAGCAGGTACATGCCTTACGTTTACACGATGTTGTATGTCAGTTACAATGGATAAAAAAAAAAAATTGATAAAAAAATCAGTCTGCTCAGTCCACCACTGGAACTTCAGAGGTCAGAAGACAAGAAATTTTTTAAAAGGCAGGCAAAAGGTAACCCTGCTTTCATTCTGTTGCTTCCCTAACACTTACCCTTGTTTGGTTCTCCTTTCTTTTGGAGACCATGGGAGAAGTACCCCCCAGAAACCCTGCAGCCTCTGGCCCAGGAACCCACACGTGAGCTGGGCAGGCCTGGCCCCATGCTCACTCCTGCTGGCTACACTCTCCTCCAAGAGTTTTTGGGACAGTGTAACCTATGTCGATTCATCAACCTTCATTAAAGATGACATTCAAACACAGAATGGGCTTATAAGACTTTCACCATAAAGAGTTTATGAATACTATTAAGACTGAAGTTTAACTGGATACGGTTTTGACTGTATATATTTAAAGAGGAATTTCTCTTTTAACAAAGAGGCAAATGCCTTGAAATTACAGAAAGGGGCACCTGGGTGGCTCAATCGCTTAAGCATCTGAACTCTTGATTTTGGCTCAGGTTGTGATCTCAGGGTGGTGAGATCGAGCCCTGTGTTGGGAGGGAGACCTGTGGGCAGAGCCAGAGGCAAGCTCGATGTGGCATGTTGAGTCTGGGCTACGGGCCACAAGCCCGTGGAAGCTGCAGGAGCGCTCAGACTCCCAAAGTGAATCACAGTGTTGCAAGAGAAAGCCCGAGAGTGAACATTTCCATGGAGGGAGGGACTTAAGAGCTGCGGACTGTGAAGGCTCCTGGGGTCTAGCTCTCAAAATGAGCAGCCCGCACACATGCACTTCGGACCCGCTCACAGGGCATTTGGGGAGAATGGGGCTGAGCCAAGGGAAGTGCCACGTATTGAAGCCAATAACCACATCAAGGAGCAATGATCACTTTTGCTCACAGAGCCCTTTTAAGGTGCCCTAGGTCAGTCAGCTCGCACTCCCAATTTTGTGATCCCAAGCTTACAGACGAAGGAGCTGAGGCTCAGAGAGCGTTAGGGACACACATGAGGTCATGAAGCCGGCCCAAGCGGTAGCCAAATCTTGCACCTGGGGCTCCCACCCACTGTCCCCACGACCCCACATCGTTGTCATCACCTCTGGCATTTTGCCATCCCGTGCGCTCCTGCCCAAACCTAGACGGGTATGTGCAGAGCTCATGCGATCTGGAAAGAGGAGATCCAGCTGAAAGCTGTCGACTCGGCAGGACTCTGCTGTCATCACAGACACGACTACAACGTTCCCACATGGGTCCCCTTAAGTTCCTGGCTTTCCAGAACCAGCAGAGGGCCCTGGTTCTAACAGTAACACAACAACAACACCTGATTTGTAATCAGGCCTGATGTTGTGGGTATTTAAAATCCTTCAAACTCAGTGTTTCTGGTATCATCAAAGCCACCCCACTCTCTGAAGAATGCCTTATTTGCTTCATTTCAGGCTCTGAACACTACACTGTCCTTAATCCCAGTGCTTAATTTTTTTGGAAAGTTCTCAAGTGTAAATTAATCTTTGCTGTTTTGGAGACAGTAACACATTTGATGTCAGTTATGAAAGATGACACCATTTGTCACATCGGTACTTTCGGTCAGTGCCACCCTGGGGACGAGGCCTCTGCTGTCCCATTCAAGACTCAGCTAAGCTCTGTCTTCCAATCCCCTGCTATTCACTCACTTTTAAATGCGCTTCTCTGTTTCTATAGTTTTCAGTTGTGTCACATGATCTATCACTTCCCTCCGCAGCCTCCAGGATGCTCTGCAGGCATTTCTCAAAGGGTCTTAGAAGTGGTTTTGATATGTACTTACATTTATTAAGCACTTGGAAAAGATGTGGACAGGCCTCTGCTGGGTGGTAGGAGGAGACGCAATCCGCTCCCCGGGGACGTCATGGGAAAGGTGCTGGGAGGGCATCAGGCAATGCTTCCAGCCCTACCTGGAACCAGAGGGTAGAGCCCAGGCAAGTCTCTGTTCTGCAGCTTCTTGGGCGGGGGGGGGGGGGGGGGGCTCATGTGTGAGGGGAGGCTGCGCAGCAAGGTGACTGCTGGGTCCCTCTCAGCACGGTGTGGTCCTATCACCTGGGACTAAATCCCAACCCCTCTACTTTTAACTGCACATCCTGAAGCAAGCTGGTTACCTACATTTGGTCTTAGTTTCCCTATCTATAAAAAAGGACTAAAGAGGAATTCCTTCCCTGGATTGTTGAGAGGCAAGAAGAGAAATGTTGCTCATGAAATGCTTAGCTGAGCGCCAGGCATGCAGCGAGTGCCTGATGAGGGCTGGATGTTATCATTTTTCATCTCTAACATCATCATGAATCATGTGTCAGATGTCTACTCGTTAGCATCGTGAACTAACTCGGTAGAAGATACAAAATAAAATGACAAAAACAGTGACTGCTCAGAAGACAGAGCCCAATTCTGTCTGAAGCCCATTTGGCAGGGTTTCGTACAAAATGTGGAGTTGCTGCTTACTGAAGATTTGCTTTCTAAGAAACAGATACCGACAAAAGGTAATGATGAATAGCCTCCCGTTCGCAGCAGCTTTTGTAACACGGAGGAGCCTTGCAGTCACTGGGAAAGCTGGTGGCCCAGCCAAGACCTCCTTCTCTCTGCCGAGTTAAAGCATGCACTGAACATTTACAGGCCTGGCTGAGACAGCCCTGCTCCGGTGAACCTGGTACAGAATATTAGTATTTATGAGCCTTGCCTCCGCGTCCCTGTAAATGGAGGTCAGTCCTCAATGTAACTCAAAGAAACGGTGAGCATGCTTCAAAGAACCTCAGGAACAGTGCCCATTTTAAGACGATTTAGCTCAATTATAGCACCAGAAGTGCGATCCTAAGATTTACTGATTCGTGGTTCTTGATGGAAAAATTTTCAGTTCTCTACCCTTATGTATAATGCAGTAACCTCTGCATTTTACATCAAAGGGAGGAGAAGCAATTTCATCCAGATAAGAATTGCTAAAAAGAGCACCAAGAGTTGATAGCCATTTTCCCTCCTGTCCGCCAGCCCTGTAAATAGAGATGTTTAATTTGCTGGTATTCACAGACCTTGCCCATGATCTGATGAGCACTCTATACCATTCAGTGAAATCATACTGATGTGAGTCACGGGATAGCATATCATTCCCTTGTATTAGGAAGCTAAAGAGGCAATCACTTTTTTTTTTTTAACCAGGAAACCTCTAAATAAATCACCAGTGTTCTCAGGGATTTCTACTGTCAAATGAGGGCAGAAGCATGGGACCCACATTCTCTCTTTTAAGAAGGTCACTTTATTAGAATTCCATGAATTACAAAGCTCCCAAAATGCCTTCTGAAAGGATGGTTGCTAAGTCATTAACTGACAAAGACCAAAAAGGTGGAAGAAATTCCAAGTCCAACAATTTGGCAAGACATTCTTTGAAAAGGGGAGATATTTAAGGACATAAGACCACTTTACTTTTGAGTCACTAATTGTAACATCTCTCTATCCATCTATCTCTTTAAAAGGAGTTTGAAATTCACCTAAAAACTCCTAACTCCATACAAAGGGAAGCTTTGTTACAGTTTACAGGAAAGGTAACATTTAGAAGTGACCTGAGAGAGAAAATAATCCCATTTCTACTCCTCAACCAATCAAGTCAGCCACAGTGGGGATATTTCTTTGTTCTGAAATAGTATCTGGAATCTCAAAAGGAGAAGCTTTGAAATGGAGACCCACTCAGTTGCTACAACGTTACCTGTTGTCCTTTTCTCTCTGATCTCAAGTCAGTTAATTTGGGAAATCTTTATGGCTACAATGAACTTAAATAGAGTATTATCCAGTTAGCAAT